CCTACCAAAAAGCCATATCACAAGCAGGTTTGGACATTCATGGTGAGAATGTGTTCACTCATGTCCTCATGAGCTGCAACTTCAAGAAAACAATGACTGAAATATCAAAAAGGTATCAGATTGCTGCGCCTTTATTATTATATTTTTCAGATCATCAATAATTCAAACAATTTAGTTCTTTTTAGTCTCCTCTATCCATACAATTATTTGCCCATTCGTTATCTTACTAGTGACTTGTCTTGATTAACTTACTTCAGTGCAGGTGTAGAGTTGATGTTCCTATAGAGGGAACAAAGTCTGAGTAGTCATACCTTTGTTTTATTAAAAAATATTATCCGTTGAGCCATAACTCAGCTCTAAAGAAGAATATTTTTTATTTTCTGTTTTCTTCTCCCATCGTTCTCTTTATTTTACTTTGTCAGCATTTCATTCTACACTTTAAATCTTAGCCTTGATATTGATGGGGACTTGGTTGCTTTACTAAGAGGCCTGTCGAATTATTATCTATCGAATCTTGGCAAGATAATTACAAATTTTTCCTATTGCTTCATGTTATGTGCAGACCTCTGTTTGACTTACATCGTTCCCTACCAGCGATAGTTTGTCGCATCATAATCGACATAACTTTCGTCAACTGTTGTATGGCACATTCCTAAAACATTCACTAGTTTATGTGAAAAATATGAACTTACTATAAATGTCGCTGTAACTTGTGATGTATAACCTCCTACAAGAAATTTGATGACAATTTTAACATTTTGATCTTGCCTGTAAATTAGCACCCCTCTTATGTCACGCTGTTATTAATGGATATATTATTATACTTGTCAACATTATTAAAATTACTACCCTTATACAACTTTCTAGTTAGTTTTGGATAATAACTCCTCGAAGTCCCAGGAATTAAGCAACACACTGCAAGACAACCTATGGCATTTCTCCATCTTTAACCTAAAGTATACTTCTCAAAGTGAGGTTAAAATGCCGAGAATTGCACAGAAAATTCATAATATAACCCTGATTAAGCATCTAACTAACATTCCTATACACCATCATAGTCAAAATACTTCATCCAACTCTTATCTTCCTTCTTCGAAAGAGATACCTTACCATCTTTTCATACTGACCACTTTGACAATGATATTTTACTTCCTTCAACTGTTGAGGACGATATTCCTACTTGTTTAAAGTCACCTTTACTAACTGTGGTGTAATTGGTTACAATGAATCCTCGCCATGACTGACATTATTTAAAAAGTGTCTAATTTGATATGGCTTTCACCACTCTGGAAAAGAAGGATTAAGTCCAATCTAGTCCTTTACTTCAAGCAATTGCACAAACTCACAGACTCCATTTGTAAAGTAGCTCTTATTCAAAGCCTGCTTAGATAGTACTTCTTACGTCCAATTTTTTTGCTCTTTGATACTTAGAAGCACAGTTTGTCGATCTATTTGCAATTCACGATCCCAAATATTATGTCAAAACGAAACTCCAAAGTTAGGTACCAAAGTTTATTGTCAATTCACAATAATCGACCTAAATATCTTTGGTTTATTACAAATAGACGACCAATGTCGTTCTAACAACAATAATTATAATAACTACAATTACCTTCTATTTTATAGGTTCTTGGAGCAAAAAACTGCAAACGAACAACCAAGACAAACAGGAGTCCAAAATGACGAAAATAATAATTCAAACAAGTTCATAAGTTAATTAAAACAAATATGCCCAAAAATCACAGTGAAATTAGTGATATTTATATAAAGGTTTTGATCAGCAAAATGTCTTCATTTCTCCCGTAACAGTACTTTCGAGATAGAGTTTCAGCTGTCAGTTTTGAGAAGTGTAAAGTAAAATCTTGGAAAAAATTCCTCTCTCATTATGTAAGGATCTGCGTGGAACAGTCTTCCCTCGAGAATACGGGTGGTGAATGGACAATATGCACGTGTTTAATTTCTTCATTAAGCACTATTTGCACTAATTTCACAGCACGCTATAAAATATCTGCCCACTGCTCATAAATCACTGACTCTCCATATGTCCGAACAATTTAGGAGCAGCATTTTTTCATTCTTTTTGAAACTATACTAGGTTTTTTTACTTGCTCTCATATTCCCCTTTATCTGTCACTGGAAACAGACAAGTAAATCGAAAAATCGATTGGCACTGCTAAACTAAAAATGGCCGATAATATCTCTCTATATAACCCTAATGAGTCATCTCTCAAAATGTGTAATTTTTCTGCCTAAAAACCAGTATGCATAGCTTAAGAAATCATCTGGGTTGACAAAAAATTATCAACTCCCGTAACTTTTCGGTTACTTACTGTCTATCACCAGTTTACTTTTCTTACAATGTGTATTCTCTCACAAGCACTCCACTGACTATGTGTTGATTCCATCCTGTTATTTATCCTCCAATTCATGACTTCATTATTCGTCAACGCACCTCGACAAACACTTCAAAACTTTTGATTATCAAGTCTTGAATGAATGACCATCATTTACCTATAGTACTGACATGGAATTATTTCTGACTACCATGATTTCCAGACTAATGGTTAATAACGGAGCATTAGGTTATTAATGTTTTAGGACGCCTTTCTCTATATAAAGTGCGTCTAGTCACTGCCAAAATTGAGAGACATTAACGATAGGATACTAAAAGTTATAAATACTAAGTAAATGCATTTTTCCTACCATTCAAGGACCTGGGCTAGTTGCCAACTCTTGCTGAATCCTGTATATACTGAAAACCTCAAGTCTTATAACCAAGCTTCACAAATGTGAAATCTCGTTTATGAGCTTTCGATCTGGATGAGGGTCTTATACTCGAAGGATTCAGTGTGACACTTATTATTTCACAAAATTTTAGCGAACACTGTGACCTATATTTAACTGAGACTGTTTCAAAATGCTATAAGTAGATTAACTGGTCTGAATGCTTATGACTGAGCTGTATTAAAATCATTTAGTCTGAGGAGTGTGCTAATACTCGGTGAAGTGTGTCATTAATCCGTTGCCTTAACTTAATCAAAAAAGTGGAATAGTATAAAGAACATGAAAATAGGATCACTGGACTACGAATACTCTCTCATCTGGTTGCATTCAGTACATCGTCTGATATGTGTTAGTTTGCTTCAAATTATTTTTCAAGTTGCTGCTGTTCTACGTCATAATAATAATGATTTATTCTCAAATAACAAAGTGTTACATGAAGCATTCCAGTTTACAAGAAAGGTTAGAGTATTAAAATTGCTAGCATATTTTCTGTAAAATGTTATTAAGTGATAATTTCAAAAAAAGCGTCACATGCGTGTTTACAAACTTCACATCTGCTCATGAATCCTTTACAAACCTACATTAGAATCCCTTGAAATGAATTAGATTTTAAGACCAATCAAATGAAGATCTATATTTCTATGTTATACGCGTAAATCTTCTTAGTATCAAACTATCATCTTCAGCCTGAGTTACTTACTGAAAATAAATGACTCATTGCAGAGTGACGAAAGCGAAATATGAGCAATATCATTTCTAAAATATTTGTGGACCAATATATGAAATCGCGTGGACAAGCAGAATGTGTTATTTTTTCTAAAACAAAATATACACTTCGTTCATTTTTTTCTGCTTGAATGTCGTTAACTAAGTTAGTGTGGATACATTAAAACGAATTACAAAAGCTCTAAAATATCCGGTTTAGTACTCGTTCACTCATTGGTTTGAAGAGGCGAACTGCCCAGGCAAAAAACATTTGTACCTAGTGTTGGTACATAATTTTATAAATTCCATATTCTTAAAAATATGTTATTCAGTGATATGATTTTCTACACTTATTTGACATATATAAATGTTTATTATATGCGTAAGTATTGTTAGACGAGTCTTTTAAGACATAATCTGCTAAGGAATTCTGAATTAATCTCCGGTTAAGACGCTTGACAGTTTGGTCCTTCCTCTATATTCGTTTGTCTATCGTAATTTATGAGGTTATTGACGATAAAGCATCATCGTATATTCAGAGATAAAACGCCGAGTACTGAATAAAAGCACCTATTCTTCATCTAGAAAATGCAGTAAGCCAGAAGCGAAGGCCACCGAAAAAACCACACTTTACATCTAATACCCCAAAGCTTCTGCAGGATAAGGGATCTAATTTTCCTTTTTACTACAGGGATGAATAGGGAATGAATTCATTGTTTCGTGTGGTCTGTATGACATGGATAAAGCTTTTACCGCATCGACATACGAAATCATTTCACCCCATGAAAACTCTATTGAGTCGATCAAGTGTTTACTTTTCGTGAGTCTAAACGTCCTAGATCAAATTTTGATATAGTATATACGAACCGCTGTGACGTGCATTGCGCACCAGTACTGTATCATGTGTGACGGTTCGAACCATGATTATGGTAAATTGCATTGATTAGTTTGAAAAATATATGTATCAGAACGTTTCAAAGCACTAAAAAATTAAGATGAACAAAAGTTGAATAGGACTAAAAGTTATGTGCGAGAGAGTGAAAAGTAATCCAAGTGAATAATTAAAGTGAATCGTCGTGATTTTCGAATACCGGTTTGGAAAGTAGTGAGTTAGAGACTGTCACTGATACAATAAAAACTGTCAGTAGTATCAATTCAGCCATAATACAAACCTAGTACAAAACAATATGAAGAAGATCGTTTAGACTACGTTGTGTTTTCACATCACATGTTGAACAGATCGTCAAAAGCAATGCCATTTTTGTGCTATGGGGTTTGGGACTGAACGTGTAAAAGTGAAATTTTTGGATTTCGCTATTCGATCAAATATATAGAATAAGTACTATTTTTTGAAATTCCAAATAAATAAAAACCCTAAATCGTACTCTTCTGCACTGCAAACTGACCTGCAATAGCACGTAGGTTGATCTTAATGGATAAACTTATCGGTATTTTTATGTGACCTCGATTGAAACTGTAGCAACGCGCGTTTTTCAACTACTTGACGCGTCATGGCCTCGTTTTTTGATGTCAGCTCTAAGAGGAAAGATAAGAAAGAAGAAGAGGAAGGTTAGAAAGGTTTTTTTCTTAACGTTATATCTCTTGTGACCTGGTGTTTATTTGCCACACATTAAACTTCTTTACGCGTTTCTAGGCTATGGGGCGGCGTATGCGAAGTTGGATAAAACGGTAGTTTTGCAAGAGGTATACAAAAATTCTACTTTCGCCATGTTTAAATATTTTAGGCTCGCCTTTTTAATCAAACACCACTTAACCCAAGGAAGTGTGTACACATCTTGACTAAAATTTTGGTGATTCTTGAACAGGTTAAATTCTTAAAATACTTATACTGGATATATAGAGTGAAAAGTTGGGGAAGGTTGAGGCGACAGATGCGTTTTTCGCAATGACTAAATTGTTCCAGTCTAATGACGTATGTTGTTGCATTTTAACTTTTGTCTTCAGCAAAACCTTCGCCGTATGCTTTACCTGGTCATTAAAGAGTTGTCTGCTGTTGCAGATGATGTGATTATCGTTACTAGCAGGTACCTCCTATCATGGTAACTAATTCTGTGTAGTCTAACTAAAGATATGACTGGTCCAGAGATTGCCTTTCGAGGTCCTGCGATTCGAGCCCTTTGCACCATAACAGATGTAAGTTTAGCTTCAAATATATTTTCTTTTTTAGGCAGCGATGGTCCAGAGTATTGAACGCTACCTTAAACAAGCTGTAGTAGATAAGCATCCTGCAATAGCGTCAGCTGTATTGACGTCAGCATACCAGTTGATGCACATATGTCCCGATATCATTAAAAGATGGACGAATGAAATACAAGAAGCCGCATCAGGCTCTCGTGTTATGGTACAGTATCATGCTCTTGGTCTGTTGTATTTAATTCGTCAATCTGATCGACTTGCTGTTACAAAGATGATCCAAAAGTTTACTCGGTCTACTCTAAGATCACCCTATGCCTACTGTCTCATGGTGAGTTATTGTTCATGCTATCTATCTTTTTGTAGATAAGAATAGTAGCAAAGCAGTTGGATGAAGATGGGCACCCGTAAGTTGTCCAACTTTTATCAAGGAAAGGGTATTTATCACATGTTATTATATTCAGAAGCTTATTGATAGGGGAATGCCATTTTTTACTCGGTCAATTTTGTTGTCGAGCGTTTTAAGTCACTGGTAGTAGCAGACAACTAGTAGCGTACTATCCTACACATTAGTGAATAAGCAAGGTTCTAGTATAAGTAGCATTCGGGAATACAGGAATTTCAATTATCATAAATAATGAGAACGTCAGTTATCAAAAGCAAGTACCACAAATCTCCAGATTTATGGAGGTAAAAGTGTGATGCATATAGACACCACAAATAATGTGAAGTTTCGTCGTCTATCTTGTGACAACTGATCGTTATCGAGACAAATTCCCGTCTAAAAAGTGCTGGCTTACTGGACTCTCCGTTAATACGTAGTTTGTGTTGGATGAGTTTAACGACTTCTCATCTTATAACTCTTTTGGTTTTGACTCTACAGTGGAAAAACAAACTTTTTAATTCACACTGGTTTCACACAAATCGGAATACTTGTTGGTCCTCAAGCTCCATTAACTATTGTTTAGCAAATACCCATGCTTTTCAGAATCTCAACTAGTCCTTATACCATGATAGATATCATGGTCGAGCGTGTTGACCGCTTCACTTATCTGAGGAGTCTCATCAGTGCTGATAGCTTGGTGACTGACGAAATATCAGCACAGATACAGAAAGCTGGATTGGCTTTTGCCGACTTGCGTCACCTATGGCGCTGGCGAGATATTCGTTTGCTTACCAAAGGACGAGTATACCGCGGAGTAGTTAGCTCAATTCTCTTATATGGATGGGAAACATGGCCGGTGAGAGTAGAGGACGTTCGTAGGTTGCTTGTCTTCGATCATAGGTGTCTCCGAAGCATTGCTCGTATATCCTGGGACAACCGAGTAAGCAATGCACTTGTTCGAAAACGGGTGCTAGGTAGGGATGGCAGTGAAACTCCATCAGCTGAGGTAGTTCGGATATGTGTTACGAATGCCCAACCACCGACTGCTTTGACGAGTGACGTTTTGTGATGTAGGAGTAGGTTTGAAGAAAGGTAAAGGCAGCCAGACCATGAAATCACTAACAAAAGGACTGAGTCATGTTGGTAGATGTAGGCTACCCGGTTGGGGTCCACGAGACAAAAGTCACCGATGGATAGAGACCTTGAACGATATGGCTGAAAATCGTTTGCGATGGCTCAGGTGCATCTACTCTTTGTGTTCTGTAAAGTTCTAATCTGAATTCTTCATCTGTCTTTCGCTTTCTAAATGTTTCTCACTGAATTATACTCCTCGAATCATTTCTTCGAACTCTAATCTTATCCATTACTGCTAATACTTCTACTATGGCTACCACTATGGGATTTGAACTGACAGTTGTGTCTGTGCTAATGCCGTATAGCAACCTGAAGTGATGTACGTACGTACGTACTAAGTTCCATTTTAAACTGTGAAGGTGCATACTCCATAAAAATGCAATATGTTACCATCCAACTTCGCCAGGATCATGTAGGTCATCTTAATTACATCCATTATTCTGTACATACTGCTTACCGAGAAATGATTCCTTGATTTGACATCTCGGTCACTCACATATTTTTTATAGCTATTCTGTTTTCTCAAGAATCTGTCTGCAAAAACAGTTTGCCGTTTTAGAATATCTTGTCTATCCCTAAACCATATCTTCACTCTATTTCTTAAGGAATAATCCACAATTGTTTGAGTTTTTGGAATCATCGCTTCGCCATAAGTCGGAGATGGTTATATATGAAGCAGCTCGAGCGATTATTAGTCTTCGAAACCTAACAGCGAAAGAATTAGCTCCGGCCGTGGGTGTTTTACAACTGCTTTGTACATCTTCCAAACCTGCTCTGCGATATGCTGCTGTACATACGTTAAATTCTGTCGCTAGTAACCATCCTGCAGCAGTAACTGCATGTAATCTTGATCTTGAGCAGCTAATTGGTGATCCTAATAGAAGCATTGCAACACTTGCAATAACCACTTTACTGAAGGTGAGTGAATGAAATCGCGGGTGTTGTCCCTCCATTCTTATTTACTGTTCTCACCATAATCAGAAGCTGGAGAAACCTTAGTCGGTAAAAGTTAGTCATTTTCAACCATTTTTCGGTAGTCAATATTATTAAATTGAGTATCCGCTATGATCCCTCTGATACTTAAAGTAATTGATGTGGCCCATTTGGGCACAGACTCTATACAATAACTAAACCAGAGGGATACATTGGTTTTCTAACTCAACGTATTCGGCCTATACCATTTTGATGAACGTAGATCTATCTTGCGACTTACAAAGTAAAGAGTCATATGATCAGCCGCTTTTGAACACGCTACATTAATTTGTTTCCTAGCATCGCAAATGTTAGTTCAGTAACTCGGATCATAGACATCCTTTTTTAAGGTAGAGAATTGATTTACTTCAGGTGATTAGTGCGTGATTCTCAGTCTACAAGATTTTCATCGTATAAAATGTCAGTTGATAAAAGTCTTAATAATTAGTACGAGTTAAATTAGTTTCAGTTACTGTCAATAATATTCATGCCATAATTCGCATATATATACTTTGTAACTTAATTGTTTGTTTTACTTTTTTTTATTTTGTTGGTTTCCTCTTTTCGCCTTATTAAAAATGTAAAATCTTAAGTTGGCACAGTATTAATTGTAATGCGCACAGTTTGGATTATTACTAATTATGTAGTTAAATTTTTCAGACAGGCAACGAGTCGAATGTTGAACGTTTGCTAAAACATGTATCTCCGTTTATGAGCGAAATAAGCGACGAATTTAAAATTGTCGTATTAGAATCTATCCGTGATTTAGCAACAAAATACCCCAAAAAGTATATGGTGTTATTAAACTTTTTATCTGGACTTCTTCGTGATTCAGCTGGTTACACGTTCAAAAAAGCAGTTGTGATTGCTATCGAGTCAATTATCAAACAAATTCCAGAAGCTAAAAGTATTGGTAAGTTTATCTGGGTCGTTTCTCTAAAGTTTTCCCTCCTTATTCCGATATTTTGACAAGTGAAAAAATCACTTTGTATTTTTTGACTACCAAAGAATTGATTTCAAGTAGATTTTCGGGACGGTAACTTCGCCGAAAATTGTCATTTAATCCAATTAAAAACCATTTTATATATATGAGCAAAATATAATAGCATAAAAAAATTTTAAAGTAAATAATTATTTGCTCACTCATAAATCTGAAAGCATAACTTGAATATAGCTTACCACAGATACAATTACGTGACATTCGCATTCCTTTATAACTTGTTTAAATTCTAGAGTATCTTCTTTAGATTCATTGTCTCAGATGTTCTCACACCTAAAATTGTGATGTGTTGACTTAAGGACCTCATAAAAGTAGTCCATTGTATCCAATAACGATCAGACCAACTGGCACTGATTTCATGAACTGGTCCTGTGTTTGATTTTCTATCACTTTCTCCCAGTGCAAACTTATTTCAGCCAGCTTATAACGTTACTTTAGGGTTAATGAAAGCTTGAAATGCGTAAAGTGTGATCCAATTACTTTTGATTTACAGCATTTTATGTTGTCAACGTAACTGGTGATAGATCTATATTGATTATTATTGTATCTACCACAGTGGCTTCATTGCAAGGATATCGAGCCATTTTAGTTGAAAATTCCCTATCTCTGACAAAGACGGTGAAGAGTTATGTAAACGGCATCATATATTTTAGTTATTTAAAACTAAGTTTGGTTTAAAGGGGCAAGATATGTATATGCGCCATAGAATAAAAATAAGGTTGTAAATAGATAAAAAAGCAAGTAAGTATAGTTTTTAAGAAGGCGAATAAAAATTAGTGTATGAGAGCACACCGAGCGAATTTATTGACCACTAAGACTTAAAATAAGATAAGTGTAAACAAGAATGTGGTCAGCTTAGAAAATCACGCAACCACACCAGCGACGGGTGATCGCAATGTGATCAATGTGAGTCCAGGCTTGAAATTGGGGGCAAACACCAAGTAGCGCTTCGGCGATGACTGTACCAAATGTTAATACTAGCCAGAAACAGGTTGTAATTTGCCCAGAATAGCAGTGTATGATCGCAGTTATCTGACCTGCGACCAACAAGTCCCCATCGGCCACTTAGATTAACATCCTTTGTACCTAGATGCCCGACCTTTAAATTCAAGTCTCTGGCTAGTACTACAACGTTTATTGAACGCAATTCCTGGTGGAATTGATCCTTGATTGAATACGGACTGTAATTTTTTGGGGCGTAAGAAGAGATAACAAAAGATTGACTTAATGGGGATCCATTTGATCAGCACTGCCTCGTCTCTGGCACTTGAGTGAAGCACGAGACAAAAGCTCAACAGGGTCTTCAAATACTCGCGTACAACATAAGCTTTTCGAAGCGACCCCCGACCGTAGCTGCTACCTTGACGTGGTGGTCGGGCTTGCCTACCGTGATGACTCAACCGAGCTAAAATGGCTGGAACATATATTCCTGAAGGTTCTACCATGCCAGGTAGGTCGATTGGAGAGTGATGAGACTAAAAGCAGCTACTGAAGGTCTGAGGGCGAAGTCGTACTGTTGACTGTAGAGGGGTGTTACAGCAGTAAGGTGTTTCCCTCGGACAACCAGCATCTTTAGCGATGCTGCCTTCTCACAAGTAAGGAAGGGTTAGAAAAGGTCGGCCCTAAAAATATCACTCCTCCCCTACCTCACGGATTTCCGTCTCCTTGGGTAAGGGTGCCCACTAAGGGCCTTTAAGAGTGGGACTAACACTCAAAAATCCTTTCATAAAAAGGCCGTGCGTGACCGGCCTCAAGCAACTGTCCGTTGGACTCTGCGGTCACGCTCCCAGGTCGTTAAGACCAACACTAATCTATCTTCCTTTTCAGGTCCCTCAAGAAACAACCTTCCACGGTGTGGGCAGCCGGTAAGTGACAACCGCCCTCATACCCTAAACAGCACACGAGACCAAATTGCCTATCGTGACGACTCAACCGAGCTATACTGGCTGGAACATGGGTTCCTGCAGGTCCTACCATGCCAGGCAAGTCCTAATCTATAAGAAAGGACAAAAGTCTTCTTGTGACAATCACAGGGGAATCAGTCTAACTAATATAGTATCTAAAATTTTGGCCTCAATAATACTTCGGCGCTTAACGAAAGCTCGTGAAGAGCAGACTAGAGAAAACCAGTCTGGTTTTCGACCTGGACGTGGTTGTATAGACCACATTTTCACAATCAGACAGGTCCTGGAACACAGACACACATTTAGGCGTCCTACAATAGTTGTTTTCCTGGACCTAAAAGCAGCATTCGACTCTGTAGATCGTGAGGTTTTATGGCAGTGCCTGTCATTGAAAGGTGTACCAAAAAAGTACACTAACCTCATGCAAGCTCTCTACTCAAACACCACTTGTCGAGTGAGAGTTTATTGGCGAACGGTCATCGGAATTCTTCACTTCAAGTGGTGTCCGTCAGGGAAATCCACTTTCTCCATTCTTGTTTAATTTTATCATAGACATGCTCCTAGAAATGACCCTGTCCTCGTCTGAATTTTCTGGAGTAGACCTTTTACCAGGTGGCTCGCTTATTGACTTAGAATATGCCGATGACATAGTCCTACTTGGTGAAGACGCTGACAAAATGCAGAGTCTTATGACTACTCTAAGCAACAATGCAAACATGTTCGGGATGCGGTTCTCACCCTCGAAATGCAAAATGTTGCTTCAAGACTGGGTTGCATCGGCACCTGAACTAGTGATAGGGAGTGAAGTAGTCGAACGTGTAGACCGCTTCACTTATCTTGGAAGTCTCATCAGTGCTGATGGCCTGGTGACTGACGAAATCTCAGCTCGGATACAGAAGGCTCGATTGGCTTTTGCCAACCTGCGTCACTTATGGCGTAGGCGTGATATCCGTTCTCTAATCAAAGGACGAGTGTACTGTGCAGCAGTTCGCTCCGTTCTCCTATATGGCTGTGAAACATGGCCAGTGAGAGTAGAAGATATTCGTAGGTTACTAGTCTTCGATCATCGATGTTTTAGAAGCATTGCTCGTATATCCTGGGACACCCACCAGAGTGAGCAACGCTGTTATTAGGAATCGGGTGCTAGGTAAGAATGGCAGATCAATAGATGAAGTGGTGAAACTTCATCAGTTGAGGTGGTTGGGGAATTTGTTACGTATGGCTAACCACCGACTGCCTTGACGAGCTTTGTTTTGTAGTGTAGGAATAGGTTAGAAGAAAGCTAGGGGCGGACAAACCAAAACATGGCAGAAATCCATGAAGTCATTGACGAGTGGACTTAGCCATGTCGGTAATTGTCGACTACCTGGTTGGGGTCCGCGAGATGATAATAATCGATGGTTGGAGACCTTGAATGACATGGCTCAAAATCGTTTGCAATGGCGCCGGTGCATTTATTCTTTGTGTTCTCTCAAATCCCAATCTTCTGGATTCTTCAATCCGTCTAGTTTTGACTTTCTAAACTTTTCTCACTGAATCATACTTCTTGAATGATATCTTCTAATCCTAACCTTTTTGATTACTTCAAATCCCTTACTACCTCTTCTACTATTGGATTTGAATTGACAATTACATCTCTGTGCTGATGTGGTATGGCAACATGAACTGATGTACTTACGTATGAAGTTCTGCGTTGCATCTAACTGACTGACTTTATAAGCGACGATGGAGAACAATTTTGTAGTGGAGTCTCGAATAGAGAATAAACATAGATGTGTGGACTTTCTAAAAACAGCGAACTCTGTCTGTGGTATGATGGGCATTAAGTTCCGAACACTTGAGGAGGCCATTTCAAATGATACCTGGTTTCAGAAAGGCTGATCCAGAATCTCTATTCAGTTGTAGCCTTCAGATTCCGAATGATGACTTGAGATATTTTGGATAGATTGAATTTTTACCATAGGCGAGCTTCTTCATTAGATGAAGAATAAAGAGTACACAAAATAGAAATTTAAGGCAATAGACAAATGAGGCAATGAAGAATGAAAAAACGCGTATTAGAGTACGATAAACTTTTTTTGTCATATACCCTTAGTTTGTGTGAGTACTGGGACTATTTTGCTGACTAGAGTTCGTTTCTATTTATACTTCGTTTGTTGCATCGCTTTATCACCATTCATGGAGTTACAAGTCAGTTTGGTCAAAGTTTTCGGGGTATCGGGCTTGTCATTCGCTGTGCTTTTCCTGGTGATCTAGGCGTTTTTGAGGCCTGAATGTTGCAGGTTCTAAGATTTTAATTTTTTATAATTGTTCAGTAAGAATGCTTTCTTTTATCTATTCTCTTCGGTCACTAAGCTTTATCAGTCTTCAAATGAGCAATGTCGGGTCCATAAGTAGTTTTGCTCGCACAGCCTACAGAGATAAACGAACGTGTTTCAAATTGTAGAAGGCTCACTCTAAATCACTATTCATTTATTATACTTTTGAACGCCTCCTGTTGATTCGATTGGACTACGTTAGTTCATTCAAGACGACACGTCAGCGCAGCACCAGGACTGCAGACAATATCGACCAAAATTCACTCAGGTGCTCTGAAAAGAGTGACAGTCTTAAACACTTAGAGGATCACAGTATGACTATTCAAGTTTCTGAGGAGGTGTCTTCTATCAAATTCAATTCTTCTGAATTCCTAATCACCTTTATTTCACTGAATTATACTTCTTGAATATCTTCGAAGCCTAATCTTCTCCACTACCGCTAATACTTCTACTTCCTCCACTACAATGGGATTTGAATTGCCAACTGCGTGTCTGTGCTAATGTGGTATGGCAACTTGAACTGATATACGTACTTACAGAGTTCTACGTTTTCGCTGACTTAAAAGCTGATTACGATCTGATTAAAAATAATATGAATCATTTATTTGTTCTTCGATATGAAATTTTTTAACTAACTAATCTACGAAAAATTGCTTCATAACCATTGGGTGAAAGTAAGGGTTGGAGGACT